GGATGGCCACACTGCAGTCCCTTCTCTGTTCTCCTTTTAGGATCTTGGGTACACATGCACATGTGCCTGGTGTGAGTTTCAAGCCACTGGGTCTGGGACTCAAACCATGGTCGGCCATGTGGAGTCCACCAATGTAACCACTATGCCATCTGCTGGTTCCTTGGAGGTTGTTTTGTTTTTTGTTTGTTTGTTTGTTTTTTAATGTGTGTCTATTTATTTCTTCTATAAACAAGAGGGACAGAGAGAGAGATAGGGCCTCTGCACCATGATCGCCCCCAACTTCTTCCAGCCCAGATCATGGGCACACGTATACCTGGCCTGTTCAGGGAGGTCTTCTCATGTGTAGTCTCACAGAGCAGCATGCTACCAGTACTTCACCTTCTAGCCCCAAGCTTTTAAAAAATGTAGATGGCCATGCCACAGCCTCAGAGATTCTGATTTAATTCATCGACTGGGGCCCAAGCACTTGTATTTTTCAAAAGCTCCAGGTCATTTTAATGTGCAGCTAGGATAGAAAGCACTAATACACAGACGTTTATAGTTTTGATTTATTATCTTAGGTAATTTTCAACTCTCTGTTATAAAGGTGAGGGTAATCCTATACTCATCCTGTTTTCTTAACCTCTTTCCTCTTTCACCTCCAAATTGTAAGTGTTCCATTATGTGCAGACATGTGAGCTTTATACACCTGATATAGTTATAATTTAAGTTTTATATATAGCTGATTCCAGAAATGTAAAACCTGTTAGCAGCATTTATAATGATATGTCTACATAAATATAAATCTCTTCTCCTGAGCCTTATAGTCTAGTGACCAATGCTGATCTGATTCATGTTCCTTTGTAGGTAACTTATTTTTTCTTGCTAGAAACTTTTAAGACTCTCTCTCTCTCTTTTCCTTGGAGTTCTGAAATATCATTTGTCTGTTCATTTATGAGTCTTTATTCTGCAGAACATCTCATGGTTTCTACCAGATAAAGACTTATAAGTAACTTTCTGCAGTTCTGGGAGATTTTTTTCCCTGTTCATTGTTTGATCATTTCTTTCCTTCTATTCTCTCTCTCTCTCTCTCTCTCTCTCTCTCTCTCTTGCTGTCCTTCTGGAACTTCTCTTAAATGACTATTGAATCCCTGCATCTTTCTTTCATATTTCTTAATGGTTTTCTTATATTTTCCATTTCTTTTCTGTTTTCTGTTTTGTTGTGTTGTGTTTTGCTGGAAGGTGCATACATTTGCCAGAGAGAGGCAGAGAGGACAAGGGAGAAAGCAGTCCTTAGTGGAGTACAATCACACTACAATCCCTTTCCTCCATTCCTCTGTCCTGTTGGGGTTTGGGACATATACACACACGCACACAGTATGTGTTACAAAATGCGGGGGCTGGGACCTGAACCATGGTCAGCCACATGGGATCTGGCTTGCACTATACAGCCCTTAACCACTGTGCTACAGGCTGGCCCACCTTATTCCTCTTTTTAAAATTAGTAGTGGGGCTAACAAGTGACATGGTTGTTAAGGTACTGGACTCCCACATGACTGACCATGGTTCAAGTCCTGGACCTGGCGACTTGCTTTCTATTTTCTTTTTCTCTCTGTTTATCTCTGGTCAAATTAAATAATAATAACAATAATAATGATACATAAAATTAAATAGCTAGTAGGACTATTAATAAATATGTACAATATAATGTAATATTCATTGTTGAAGAAGATGAATAGATCTTTGATTTGATTATTATACACCACATGCCTTAAAAAAAAAAATCATTCTGGGGGGCCATGTGGTTTGGTGGTTAAGGCAATGGACTCCCACATGGCAGACCATGGTTCAAGTCCTAGACCTGGCAGCTCACTTTCTCACTTTTCCTTTTTCTCTCTTTCTTTTTCTCTGGTGAACACACATGCCCTATAGCAAATTTTTAAAAAATAATAAATAACATTAAATAAATAGGTTTTAAAAAATTATTTAATTTTATTTTATTCATTATTATTATTTTATTTTTTAATTTATTTTTAAAAAAATTTTTGGAGAGGTTTTTGCTATAGGGCGCGTGCGCTTGCCAGAAAGACGGAAAGAGACAGAGAGATAGAAATCGAGAAATCACACACACACACCCCCGCCCAGGAGGAATGGCCACACTGCAATCCCTTCTCCTTCATTCTCCTCTCGGGATCTTAGGCACGCATACACACGCGCCCAGTGTGAGTTTAAACCGCCAGGTCTGGGACTTGAACCACAGTTGACTATATGGGAGTCCAGTGACATAGCCATTACACTAACTGCCAGTCCCTTTATTTATTTATTTTTGAAGTTGACCAGGGAGAGACAGGGAGAGAGAAAGAAAGTGGGAAAGCAAGCTGCCAGGCCTGGGACTCAGACAACGGTCAGCCATGTGGAAGTCCAGCTGCCTTAACTACTATGCCTACCTGTTAGCCCCCATAAATAATTATTCTTAAAAAATCATTTTGAGAGACAGCAGGTGACATGGTGGTTAAAGTGCTGGATACCACATGGCCAACTCCACGGTTCGAGTCCTGGACCCAGAGGTTTGTAAAATGTGGTATGTGCATGTGCATGTGTGCCCCAAATCGTGAAGAGAATACAGAAGAAAGGATTATGGCATGGCCATCCCCTCCAGGGGGTGATTTCTCACTTTCTCTCTCTATCTTTCTCGCAATCACACTCATCCTGGAGCAAAAACCTGAAAAAAAAATTCTGTGGCCCACAAAGATATGCATAGACTATATGTACACCAGAAACATTTTTTAAAAGAGCAGTAAAAGATACAAACTTTGGAAATATAGTATGGGAACTATTTGCACAGCATTCCCATCGTGTTGCGTATGTTAAGTAATCTAGAGACTATTAAAAGCCTATAGCAAAATCTCTCTTAAAAAAGCGTACGAGAGTGTGGGCTGGGTTGTGTGTAAATACTATGCTAATATATGGGACGTGAGTATCACAGCTTTGTATCTAGGCGTCCTGGAACTCTCCCCCAGATGTCACTCCTGGCCTTCCCGCACTTCCTCCTGCACCGAACCTGGTGCACAGGTCTGGGGGCGCCTGGGCTCTGCAGTGTCGCTCTCAGATCACAGCACCCGCACTCACTTCTCCCTTCCTGGAAGGCTTTTCCTTGACAGTGGAGCCAGCAGCTGCTCTTTTTCCAGAAGCTACAAGGAGGGGTGGTGCTCTCCCTCACTCTGGCTGGCCCACCTTTTCTAGAGCAGTTCTTTAATGACATGCCCCAGATGGGACCTCCTTCTCCCAAGTCCGGCAACAACTTGCTTTGTGCTAATTTCTCCACTAATCAACCCTTTTATTTTCTGTATCTCAGTAATTCCTCAGGATAAGGGCCTTTCGTGTTGTTTTGTTTTCTCGCACTGTAATTGTTCTAGTCTTTTCCTGCTGATGGGACCCTCTGGGAGTAAAGGGGAGCAAGCAGGTGTGTGTGTGTGCGTGTGTGTGTGTGCACACGTGCAGACGGCTGTCTCAAACTAGAAGTCTCCACTGGGTTTGCCATTCTAGTGACTTTTGTTCCATAAGGAATTATGATTTATGGATGACCCAAAATAGTACAACTAAATAAGTAGTGCTCACATGCTAATCGATGATAATGTTTAACTCCGTTTATATAGTAAAGGGGAAAAAACAAGACAAATCTGAGATTATGTTCTTGCTACTTTTTTTCTCATATGAAAGTGTCTTTTTTCAGGACTAGCAGTTGTGCAACAATGGGCAGCTCTGCAATGCTGGAGTCATATGGGAAGGTTCCAGGTTCATGTCCTGAGACCTCCCTGTACACGCCCATACCTGCGAGCTGGACTGGCGGAGCTTGGGGGTGGGTAGTGGCATAAAAATCCATTGTCTCTCACTGTCTCTCTGAAGAAATAATTCTTCTTAAGTGTCTTTTCTCAAAAAAATTAGTAATGGTAACCAATAGGAGTGGATTTTTCTTTTCTTTTTTTTTCTTTTTTTTTTTTGAGAGAGATTTTCGCTATAAGGCATAAGCGCTCGCTGGAGACACAGAGAGAGACAGAGAGAGAGAAGGTGAGAAATCACCCCCCAGGGAGATGACCGTGCTGTCGTCTCTTTTCCTTCATTCTCCTCTCAGGATCTTGGGCATACATGCACATGTGCCTGGTGTGAGTTTCAAGCCACCGAGTCCAGGACTCAGACTGCAGTCAGCCTTGTGGGAGTCCAGTGCCTTAACCACTATGCCACCTGTTGCACCTTCTTTTTGTTATTGATGTCCTTATTTGCAGGAAACAGTCATTCTTTTTATCTTTAAAAAATATCTTTTTTGGGCCAGCAGGTGGCATGATGGTTAAGGCGCTTGATCCCACACAGCCAACTCTTTGGTTTGAGTCCCAGACCCAGCAGCTTGAAAAACACACTGGGCGTGTGTGCATGCACACTCAAAATCCTGAGAGGAGAATGAAGGGGAAGGGATGGTGGTGTGGCCCTCCCCTCTGGGACTGATTCTCGCTTTCCCTCTCTGTCTCTCTCTCTGGTGAGCGCACAAACTCTATGGCAAAAATCTAAAACAAAACAAACAAGCAACTTTTGGTAAAGTTTTTATAATGGTTAAGTCTGGACTGCTAGACTAAACCATTTTTATTGCAGTCATAAATTTTTGTTTGTTTGTTTCTAGGAGGCAAAGTATAATTTAATGAAGTTGCCAGAGACACAGAGAGAAAGCACCCCTGAGGGGCATGGCCATGCTACAGTTATTTTCTCCATCCCATCAAGATTTGGGGAACGCACATACATGGGCCTGGCATGTTGCTCAAGCCACCGGGGCAAGGATTTGAACTGTGGTTGGTCATGTGAGATCTGCCCCCCCCCCCATACAGGGCTTTACCTACTGCCCTACACAGGGCCAGCCTTGAAGGTTTTCTTTATGTCCTGTGAGAATATCTGTATTTCATTTGGTGTGAAGAGCTCAGTAAATCAATCTTTAGAAACCCTAATGGTTGGTCATTTCTTTTTTTCATAAAAAGGCTTTTGCAGATATGCTGAAAGTAAACAAGACCTTGAAAAGTCTAAACATAGAGTCCAACTTTATCACTGGAACTGGGATTCTGGCCCTGGTTGAGGCCCTGAGAGAAAATGACACCTTGACGGAGATTAAGATCGACAACCAGGTAAGGGAGAGCTGGCAAAGCCAACTCAGGGCACATGGTGGGGGGAAGTGGCCAGGTGTGGGTCCGCAGACCAAGCCCTGTGTAGGACGTGGGTGGTGTTCTGGATTTCCTATAAATTCTTTCTTTCTTTGGAGAGATTTTTGCTAGAGTGCACGTGTGCTCACTGGAGAGACAGAGAGACAGAAAGTGAGAAATCACCCTTCAGGGGGGATGGCCATGCTACAGTCCCTTCTCCATTCTCCTCTCAGGATCTTGGGCATGCACACACATGTGCCTGACGTGAGTTTCAATCCACGGGGTCCTGGACTCGAACCATAGTCAACCACGTTGGAGTCCAGCACCTTAATCACTAACCAACTGCTGGCACCACCTGTAAGGTCTAAGTGCATCTGGCCCTGGAAGGGCACATGTTAGCATTAAGCAGCACACAGTGGGTCAGACTGAGACAGCAAGAGCCGCTAGCCCCCAGCCCTAGGCTGTTAGGCACCAGGGGAAGCGAGGAGGCGGTGGCAGAGGTGTTGGCAGCTGCATCTTAGCCCAGTCTCAGCCCAGGCCTGTCCCTGCCGTGCTCTTCTCTCTCACCGGGACTGTGGCTAGCAGGGGAAAGCAGGCAGCCACACCCAGGGCTACAGCTCCGTGTCCTCGGCTGGAGATGCCGCGAGCCTGGAGAGCAGACCCGGGATCCTGTAGTCTGCTGCAGGCCATAGAGAGCCTGTGTCGAGGAGCCAGGGCTCTAGAGGATGGCCTGGCTTAGAGCAGCAGGCCGCACCCACAGCACTGTCACATCTCGACTCTGCCACAGCCTTCCCAGGTTCCCACTAAGACATAAGTGCTTCTTCCCAGAGCCACCGCTTCCTGCACCTTGGAAACTTCTTTTTTTTTCCCCCCCCAATATTTTAAGTTTTGCCATAGGATGTATGTGCTTGCCAGAGAAAGTCAGAGAGAGAAAGAGAGAGGGAGGGTGGATAGTGAGAAATCACCCCCACCCCTGACCCCGGGAAGACAGATACAGCACAATCTCTTCCCTAACACTGTCCTCTCAGAACTTTGGGCACACACGCACATGTACCCGGTGTGATTTTCAAGCTGCCAGGCCTGGGACTTGAACTGTGGTCAGCTCTGTGAGAGTCCAGCACCTTAACCACCACTTCACCTGCTGGCTCCTGAGACTTCCTTCTACCAGCACCAGCCTGCGTTCCTTCAGTTGCTTTGTGGCTTCAGCTGGCTCCTGCCACCGATGGCAACTCTCAGCCATCAGTGTGAGGCGGCACCTTGCTCCTGTGGCTACAGGGACATGTGAGCGGTGGGGATCAGCGAGTCTGAGGGATCGAGATACGTGTCAGGAGAAGAAAGGGCTCTGGAGTGAACCAGAAAGAGAGGGACCAGGGAGGCTTCTGGGGTGGCCATTCCTGAGTCCCAGGGGAAGGGACGTTCGGGGCAATGACTATCCAGGAATATTACACATCTGGGGACGGCATCTAGGCTGTGCCCTGGTCCAGACTCTCAGATCTGATAAAGCCCTGGAGTCACACCCAGGACCACTGCGTAAGCCTGGAGGCCCCGGGGAGTTCTCACGGAGCTTCTGCGCTCCCTCTCTGCTGACCAGCACAAGCTGACTGTTTCAGGGCAGGCCTTCTGGCCCTGGACCCCAACACCTGTTGCCAGAGGAGGAAGAAAACCCCACCAGAAAGATGGTTTGGCGGTGACTCTCCTCCACAAGGGATGCAGCACCAAAACAGCTTCCCCCACTGCAGAAGTGCAGAGGGCACCTTGGGCATGCACCACATGTGTTCCCGCACACCAGGGAAGCTCAGTGCTGTGCATCCTGCTGCGTTAAGTTAAAAAAAAATGCATCTTAGAGGACAGCAGGTGGCGTGGTGGTTAAGGTGCTGGATTCTCATATGGCTGACCACGATTCAAGGCCCAGACCCAGCAGGTTAAAAATCACAACAAATAAATATGTAATTAAAAAGATAAAAAGCATCTGGGACCAGCAGGTGGTATGCTAGTTAGGGTCTTGGATCACACATGGTCGACCACAGTTCAAGTCCTAGACTTGGCAGCTTGAAAATCATGCTGGGCGCCTGTGCGTGCCCACAATCCGAAGAGGAGAACGGAGAAGGGATTGTAGCGAGGCCATCCCCATGAGAGGTCATTTCTCACTTTCCTCTCTCTCTGTCTCTCCCTGGTGAGTGTAAGCACCCTATGGCAAAAAAAAACAGGGGTAGGGGGTTGCATATGGTGTGTGTGGGGGGGTGGTTGGGAAGTAAGCTAGAGAAATAGAGAAGGAGTGAAGAAAGTTGTAGCTCAGGGATAGCTGTGAAATAGACTAGCATCAGGGTGATGTTCAGTGGGCTCCTAAAAGGTATTCCCAGGCCGTCGAAGACAGAAGTGCATACCTTGTTCCAAAGTATATTCAGATTTTCGCATTAATTAAGGCCATTGAGAAGCGCCATCTCTAAAGTTGTGTCACAGACACACGTTTCCTGGACCCTTACAAGATACTACCTACTTACTGTTGCTGGATAAAATACAGTTAAATTTGACTTTCAGATAAACAGTGCATAATTCTTTATTATCGGGAGGTCCCATAAATATTGTATGGGACCTCCTGATACTGAAAATTGTGTTTCTCTGAAAGTCAAACTTAATTCAGTGTCCTGTAGTTTGACTTGCCAAATCTGGCAACCCCACACCTCGTGAATGAGCTAGAATCCTAAAAATGTAGAACAAAGCTGCTTTTAAAAATATGCATATGAGGGGCCAGCAGTTGGTGTAATGGCTACATCGCTGGACTCCCATGTAGTTGACCGTGGTTCAAGTCCTGGACCTGGTGGCTTAAACTCACGCTGGGCATGTGTGCATGCGTGCCCAAGATCCCAAAAGGAGAATGAAGGAGAAGGGATTGTGGTGTGGCCATCCCCCTGGGGGGTGATTTCTCGCTTTCGGTCTCTGTCCTTCTGTCTTTCTGGCAAGTGCACATGCCCTATAGCAAAAATACTCTCCTCCCCCCCAAAAATGCATATGAGACAAACCATTAAATACAAAATCTGAACTTGCTCTTTGAACTGGCTCTTTTAAATCCCCTCTACATCAACCTCTTTATCCCTCCTCAGTCATCTAAGAATGGATTTGCAAAATTTTCTAACTTTAGTCCTCGATATGCTCCTGGAATGACTTGTTTACTCACTGGTGACAAAGAGGAAGATTAAAATTTTTTACAGCGATTGGAAAAAAGTATTTGCTTACTCCAAGAATGAGGAAATTCAGAGTCAAAACTTGTCTTACATGCAAATTTTGGTCATTGACCCATAGACTGTAACCTCAGTTTCCTCATCCATATAGTGACGGGTTTGTCATAAAATGATCTCTAAGAGTGCCCTTGGGCAGGCCCAGACACCTAGACCAGCCTAGCACCTGGCATCTACAGCCGCACTGGCGGGGAGGCAGTAGGGAAGCGGGGGGTGGAGGGTGCTGGGGGCGGCCTTCTGTGGCTAGGCTTCAGATACCTGGGAAGTGGTCTGATCAGGAGCCCCCGTGAGAAGAACCATCAGTGGTGCATACTGAAGAACGTGCATAACTGAGGTTACAGTCTACGGGTCAATGAATAAAACAGATGCACAACTGCTAAATAACTTGGAGTTAATAAAAAAGGTCACTTTATTAAAAAAGGAAAGAGGGACCAGCAGTTAGCGTAATGGCTATGTCGCTGGACTCCCATGTAGTCGACCGCGGTTCACGTCCCAGACCTGGTGGCTTAAACTCATGCCGGGCGCGTGTGCGTGCATGCCTAAGATCCCGAAAGAAGAATGGAGGAGAAGGGATTGCGGTGTGGCCATGCCCCTGGGGGGTGATTTCTCGCTTTCTGTCTCTCTGTCTCTCTCTGTCTGGCGAGCGCATGCGCCCTATAGCAAAAACCTCTCAAAAAAAAAAAAAAAAGGAAAGAAGGGGATTTGAAAACCCTAAAAAAAAAAAAAAAAGGAAAGAAGGTGATTTGAAAACATAGCTGATTAACCTTTTTGTTTTATTTTTCCCTTTGTATTTACCGATTTAAATACATCCACATTATAAAAGAAAAAAAGTGATGTGCATTTTTTTGTCCAGTTTATGTAATATAGAAGGCCTCAAAACAGAAAGAAGGAAAAAGAAAAAGGAAGAAAATAAAAAGAAAAATCCTAGCTGAGAAAGAAACAAGGCCCATGCATGCTACGTTACTTTTCCCTTTCTTTCATATGCCCCCTTCCCGATAGAATTTTCTTCAACTTCTAAATCCTTTATATAACTGTTGGCATGCCGCTCCTCCCCATGACACAAGCCAAAAATAAAGCCTATCAATCATTCTATTATTCATGCTTTCTATTTTTCCACACCAGATTATATGCCTGGTTTGTATAAAAGGGGACGTCGTTTCTGTTTTACTCCTTTGCCAAATTATCACCCGAGATTCGGTACACAATAGAGAAAAACCCCTTATGAAATCACAGTTGACATCTGTATAAATAGAGTGTTCAAATCAAGGAGCACTAAGTATGGATTTGCCTTTTATTGGAAAACAAAGCAACAATAAGAGTGCTGAGCAAAATTTAGACTACTGAGAAAACAGCCAGCTGCTTGCCAAGGAGGGACCCGGGAACCTGGGAATGTGTCTGTTGGGGTAACGTGACCATTGCGTTGACGCTGCGCATTGCCCGACTCAAGCACTCAAACGCACCACTGTGGCCCTCTCCTGGGGCGCAAGCTATAGGTACGGAGGGCAGCCTCAACCTTGGCTCAGTTCTTTTTTTTTTTTTTTTCTTTTTTTTTTTTTTCTTTTTCTTTTTTTTTTTTTTTTTT